TTCATTTTGATGGTGATGAAATTTGGAGTATTAGACTAAAAAATTGGTTGCACAGTCAATCCCCTCGGAAGAAGGGGATTTTTCGGGTGAGAATTTTTTTATTACAACTAATTATCTGAATATGTTTTAAATATATTCGATTATTTTTATTTAAAATTCATCACATCCTTTTGGAAATTATGCTTCTCACCCCCCTAGGCTACTGATCGTCTGTGGGGGCTTGATTACGCTGCGTCGAATTTATTGCCATGGTGGCTGCGTTGCAACCGTTGTGGTAAATGGCGACAGGCTCCGTCTCATTTTCCTGTGTCCGATTTCCGACTTTCTCCTAATATTTTACATGAAAATTCAACTTTTTTCTCGATCAATCAATCTTATCAATTTTCAACCGAACAATTAGGATATTCGGAATTTTACTGTGAATTGCTTTCTCGAAAAGTAAGTCTATGTTCTACATTTTGTCATATGTCATCTAGTATTTACCTTGAATTTCTTTCTAGCTTCCCGTTGAAAATCCGTGTGAGATACCAATGGATGAGGTTGGTTAAATTATTTTTAAGCTTGCCTTTAATCTCGTTCTGTTTGTTAGGATTTATAACAATTATATTCTCTTGCGCTCGCAGCCTTAGTCTACTAACCCCAATTTGTTACAGCGCATCATGCTTGTTCTTCTCCGACCCCAAGATTTCCTTGGTTCTCTAAAGGTCCATGCTTGGCTTCAAACCTCTCCGCATGCCGATTTTCGTAGTGCATCACAATCTCCATGCTCTAGTCCTGAAAAATCGGCTCATTTATCCTCATGCAAAGTTGCTGAAGATGACTTTCCAGTGGCTCCACTTTTTCGCCATTTCCCATTAGACCAGCTTGGGATATCTCCTGATAAATTGCCTAGTCGCATTGGCCGAATGGCTTCCTTTAGCATGTTTGCACTAGACGCTTATCAGTCTCCAGTGTGCAGTAAGTTTGTTTACCTGTTTTGTAAGTTAATGGTTAGCTTTTACTTAATTTATTTGCCTTACGAATTATTCGTTTTTGATTACTTTTCTCCATGCCTAATGCCGTTTAGCAATAATAAAATTAGCTTTTATTTATATTAGCC